AAGGGATTCAATCCTTTGCATACACTGCGGTAATCAAACCTGTGAATTGAACACATACGTAATATACCCCATAGGATCCATGTATGGTATATATGCTAACATTTGGGGTATATTGATGGTAAATGTTACCATATATAGCATACATGGATCCTATGGGTACGTTCATAGAGGATGGAAGTGGATTCCGTGGATCATTTCAATCTATCCCAGTCATTTCGAGTTTGTTTTCCCATCGATTAGCAGAGGCATCCATGCGTCGCCTTCCCGCAGCGTTCTCGCAGAGCGCAGCAAAGTCACGAGGCACCGAGGAACAACAATGCCTCTATGGGAAGAGTGCGCGGAGGGTCTGTGTGGAGAATTGCTATTATTAGATATGATATTCCAATATATATATAATTATATATATATTTATACATTTATATATTATAATTATATTATATTCCATTATTAACCAACTATTACAGATTATTACTGTAACCATTGTAAACCCAACGGCGTGCAGGACACAAGTCCCAGACCAAGTCGATGTTCTGCATTTTCTTCGAAGTCTTCGATGAAAAAATCGAATCTATACCGATCCAATCCGCCCAAGGTTTGCCAATCCAATCCTTGAGGCTCCTGAGAGCCTGGAGGCATTGCAGCAGCGCTGTGAAGTGTATCGTCGCCAGGGGACTTGCAGGACGGCACTGGAGCGGTCCTGGTGGGAGGTATTAACCTTTATGATTCCAACATGGGCATATTACATACATAATATGTGTATATATATCATTATATAATAGATAAGTAAATGAAAAATACATAGATAAATAAATAAGTATATATAGAATATACAAAAACATATATAAACATATTTAACTATTTACATATATACATATTTTGAATTTTACATGATGTATATATATATATATATCCAAGATACATAGTATATACATACCATAATACGTATATATATATATATAAATAGATAACCGTTGAACAAAAAATACAGAATTGGTGGTTGTTAATTGGGGAATATAATCAAAACTAATTGTTCAATGTGGACGTCATGGCAATAGACTAGGGATACAACCAACATGACATTTTGTATATCTGAAAATTGAGTATAGGTACCCCCCACAGTTTCGTTTCAATGGGAACATGTTGATTTACCCGTGGATTTCGGGGTTACTCGATTTCAGACAAACCATGGAGATGGACGATCCACAAGTTTTTGTCCATTGAACCATGATTTCCGTTTCACAGAATGGAAAAGGGTTGCTGAGTGTTTTGGAGGTTGACCTTCTAAAGTTCCAGGATTCCAACTTTTCCTTGAGCTGCTACTAGTGCTACTGTATGATCAATCATGGGCTTATAACCCGAATCAACTCCTAATCACCAGTCACCCCCAGCTGTGGCTAGCTTTAGCGGTGTAGCAGGTGACCGTTTGTTTGTGTTCATGTGCATTCGGAAGCGGCAATCATTGTACACAAGCATAAACACATAAGAACACATATGATCACATATGTATTCATATGGATACTACAAATAGTAATTACAAACATAGTATCTTGAAAAATCGAAACAGGTTGCAAAGGCAAGGACCTTCAAAATAGAAGGAGGAAAAACATCTATACAACTGCTATACAACTGGATTCTGGAGGCCCTGGATCTTATAGGCTCTGGTGAACAGGGCATCATTGAAAACAGTTTGAAATCCATGACTAAAAAGATTGGTTTTGAGATTTGTATATGGAGCCATGTCAGATTCCAGCAGTTGAATTTCAGGTGATGTATTGCTTTATCCAAGCGCTGCTGAAAAATGGCCGCTTTCAGCTTCAGTAGCCGCAGGTACTCTCACGTAGTCTCACTGTCCGGCGTTGGTCAAATCACGGCTCATATTGTCAGTCCCTTGTTTGTTGGTCGTCCCATGTTTCCATTGATAACACCACAATGTCTCTCGTCATGTCCAAGTGTAATGTATCTGTGTATATATATAATTATATATATATATGTATATATATATATATATATATATCCATTGTGTTGTGTGTGTGTTTGTGTACCTTGTGTACTATATACATGTATGTGTGCATGCATTGATGCATAGATGTAATGTAATGTAATGTACTCTAGAGTAATGTATATAATGTATTTACGTGTGTACGTACATACTATGAATATGTATTTGGTAATTATTTACTTCTACACAATATTTTACTGTTTTATATTATATTTTACTATATTTTCAATATCATATACATATTTGTTGTTATTTGTTCATGATAATCATTGTTTATTGATGTCCTCCATGGAAACCCTATCTTTGAGCGTCGAAACCGGTTCAGTAAAATTTTCACGCCAAACCATTGAATAATTCTTCATCATTTTTTCTGGTTGATTTCATCATTGTCCCCAGGCACCTGTGCTCAGAGCTGTGCTACTTCCGCGAGTTTGAAGCTGCACGGCAGCTTCGGGCCTTGCAGGCCTGGTGACGTTTTTTTTTCCATGGAGGTTTGCTCTGGGGAATTGTCAACAATGGGATTCACAATTAACAGGGATTAAGCATCAATAGCCAATAACGACTAATTATATATATGTATATATTATATATTATATATTATATATATATATTATATTATATATATACAGAGATACATATGTTCAAACAAAAAAACATAGGAGTGATACACCATCACTAGGGAGTAGCTAACAATCACTGCATCAACAAACCATCAATGGGATTTGACCAGCCAACCATCAATAGGGACTTAAACGTCAAGTGTTGTTGTTCTTTCCAGCAATGACATGTTTTGTTTGTTACGATGCCTGCAAACATCTACAAACAAGTGAGGAAACATCAGCAAGAAAACAATGATCGTGGTTTCAAAAACTGTTTGTTGTCCGTCTTAATAGGTTGATGATGACTATACTTGCTTGGATCTAGGATGGAAACAAAACACATAAATTCAACAATAATTTGGATTTGATTGTGTCAACAACTTCTGGTCAGTTCACTGTGCAATACAAATGGGACCTTCAGTTCACTGTGAATCTAAGAGCACGTGGGATCAAAGGTCAGCATTGGAATGAAACATCTAACTCACGTGGGAATTCCAGCAGACCTACTAGCCTACTGTAGGGACTTGATTACTGTACAACAATTCTGGTACAACAATGGAGACTGCCACCAACAAAAAATTAGATTTATTGTGATTAAAACAGGTCTGGAGTCTGGAGAACAAAGAAAACACCCCCCTAAATCAGGCAGCTTCTAGGTTGTTCCCCGGGGCATGGGAACTGGAAATCCTTAGTGTGCTGGTAGCTCTCTAGCAGGACCACTGAGCTGCAAAAATCGCAATTGGGGTGGTTTAAAAAATCGCAATCGTCTGATTATGTTGTCCTCATATGGGTGAGATCAACAAGTTACAGTATATACAAATGGTCCTGGGATGATTTCTGAATCTAGTAAACCGATGTAATTAGTTGTCCAGTTGAATCGAATCTCATAATGTTAGCGCCAATACTAGTGTACATAATTGTATATATATATATATATCTAAATTTGTATGTAACGGGGATGTCCCAGATGTTGATTATTTACCAGGCCATAGCTTAAACGATCATTCTGGTGCCATGTATATCAATTAATAATCATAGTTGCTCATATGTAGACATGCATTATACATAAAGCATATACAAATTGAACTACTCACATACTTACATTACATATCATTACATTGCATTACACCTACATTTCATTCAACTATATATCATTTACACATATGGCAGTGTGTCAAAACCTTGTACCCCTTCTGTTCACATCAAAATAGCTGTGTTAAAATGGATGTTCATCCCATTAAAAATGGTATTAATAGGTATTGATCCATAGCCATATATAAAAATAATTAATAACTTATTATATATATATATTATATCATATATATTTCATTATATTACTAATATATTTGTATCTATATATTTGTATCTACACACATATGCAGATATGTCAGACAAGTGGCTTATCAACTACCGAGCACAGGACCGAGCACAGGCCGCCGAGCTGCCATGGCCATCTTGGACAGCCAGGTGGGTGCCCTTGCGCAACAGGAGAGCATTGGACTGTCAACATGAAAATATGAAAATGGTAACCTCTGGTAAACTAACATAGCCATGGAAAATGGCCATTTATAGTGGATTTTCCCATTAAGAATGGTGATTTTCCACGGCTATGTTAAATAACCAGATGGTAATAAGTAAGATTGGCAGCACAATTAGACAATAGTACCTAATACTAGCTCCATATTGGCATATCTAATGGTGTCACATTAGTATATTAACTATATGTTTTTATGAGTGTTAATATAATGGTAACTTGGGCTAGTACTACTAATTTGTTAATCAATATCAATGTAACAATGGGATGACTTGGGATTTTATCTTGATTGCATATTAAGGAACAACGACAATGCAACGATGGACTTGACTATAATGGGTGTATAATAATGGAACACTGGGATTTTTAGGGAACATAATTCAGTGAAATATCAGGGGATATAATTGGCTGTAATGGCGGATATAATGGGATAATATCGGGGACTCTTGCCAACATGAGGATTTCAGGGGGACTCTGAATGGAATGCTATATGGGCCTATGGGTTTTGATGTCAATATGTTGTAGCTTGATAGACCAACGGGTCAAACCCAAGCACAAGCAATTGGGCACCAAGACCGAGACCATTTTGGACTCATAAGAGTTGAAGAGTGGGTCCCAAATACAGGTGGCAGTGGGTCCCAATAGAGGTCGCGAGATTATCAAATTTGGATCCACGGAAATGTGTCCCAAACCTTGCAAATGTTTGATGATCGAAAGCCACAGCTTGTTGAAAAGACATGGTTTGCATGTGCAAGAGATGTATTTGGCGCCGTTTGTGTTGTTGCCTGCACAATATTAGTGACATCTTGCTTCTGCTGGAATGATGTAGAACTCTGCCCAACCCCCATCTCTTGGCCCAAACCTTGAAACATCTTGAAGTACTCAGGAAAAGATGCGTTTCCAATGCCCAAAGATGGGTTTTTTTCCGTGGTTGAGGGGTGTTTGGGATTGGGCAGCACAGCTCGCAGGCTGGCTTTAAGCCAAAGAGCACCGTACTGGTGTGCAGGGATGCCTAGTGAATCCAATTGGGTTGGTCGCATGTCGGTGGCATAGCTATGATACTGCACACCATCGCATTGATATTGTTGTTGATTGTCGCAGCCACACAATTTCTGGCTATTGGTTTCAGTAAATCTAACCTGTACGCACATACAGACAATCACAACAGCATACATTTGCGTGTGTATATATATATATATGTTTCTGTCATTTTCTGTCTACATATATATATATATATACATACATATCACGTATATACACATTATACATGCTGTTTGTAGTTACACGCAATCATTCATACATACACAAGCACCTACACAGTTACATACAGAGTTGCATAAACGGCTTCATACACATGCACATATATATACGTGCACATACATATACAGATACCAAGACAAATTACATATATAGATACACATATATACATATAGATACGCATACACGTACACGTACATCTATGACCACATGTAAAGACATACGGACAAGTACACGCAAGTATACATGTAGATTCTTTCAGGATACAACTTGTTGGACTTAGGCAGGCTTTGTCCCGCTATGGCCACGGGATGTAAGTCTATGTTATGCCAATCGCCTTATTGGGAATGTACAATCCCCACTACAGTGATTCATTCACTGCCATAAATCTAGCTTTTGGCTCAGAAGCTTGACTCACTGTGTCACTGTTTTTTTTGGGCAGCCATGGTTCTGGAGAACAACTTTTCTTTAAAATCAGAGAATCTTGAATGAATCAGACTGCTGCGCGGGGGTTGACGGGAAGGGCGCAAACCAAGACAGCTTGGACATGTTTGGGACTGAGTTTAAACCTTGACAGGATTCATGCTCTCGAAAGCAGCGTCTGTGAAGTTATCAGGGAGACTGGGTACAATTGGGTGAATCAGGACAGCAAGTTCTTGATAAGCACTTGACTATCCAGGCAAGTTTGTTTTTATTCGCTTGAGACAACAGAGGATGGAGCAGAGCTTTCAAGACCAGGGCCCAGTCTGGAAACATAAAACCCTGAACCTGAACTGACCAGTGCCGACCCCTTGCGTTTTTTTCAAGCGTCCCTGCTGGAAACCATGCTTGATCCTGATCGGCTCATATTTGTGTGTGGTGTTGTTTAGACTTTCAAACTTCAATGGTTAATGAATTTTGAACCCCTTATACAAGGGTCATGAGTCCAGTGTTGGAGCATGTTGGAGCTCTAACTGAGGATGACAGTTTCAAAAGCGCGAAAGAGATCATCACACGGTCTTCTGATGAAGCTCTTTCCAGGCGTGGCTTGGCAAATGGGTTTGTTTTTCAGATTGCAAGCCTCAATCAGAGCGGGGTGAAAACTAGTTCTGTATTTTCTTTATTTCAGGTGAGGCTTGTTCCAGGCACCCAGGACACAAGAGAAGAGCTGCAAAAATGCGCCCATCTTGAAGAGGTGATGTGGCATGCTTTAGCAACCCTTAGGTTTGTTGAATCTTTTGCGGGCTTCTTCTGAGGTTACTTGCCCCTTTGTCATAGCGCTTTGTTCTTCGCAGCTAATCGCACAAATCGCCGGCGAAAAGCCGACGAGGAGGCTGCAGCCAAGCAGCTCAACATACTTCTGTCAAGTGGATGGAACTACGAAGGATGGTGTTGACGCTAAGTGGGACCCGCAATGCCGAGTACCTGTGTTATAACATGTGAATACTATTAATGAATACCCTATGCAACAAACCTTCTTGCCTTACTCAAAAAGCAAGAAGCAGGTTCCCCGTCTCTTGACGGCCTGGCATTCTCTGCAGGCGAAGTCTTTGTGCGAGCTTCTGATCCAGCGCGGCATCCCGTTGAAGGATCATGACGTGGCTTGGCACAGTCCTGAAGTGATGCTTAAGGATGTTAAAGGGCAAATGGCCGAACGGTTTTTGCTTAAAAAATATATACCCCCCAAATGTGGATGAATTTTGCTGGTTCAGCATTTCATTTTTGAGCCCCACCCAGATCATGCCAAATAAAGTTTCATTTGTGCTGTGCCTGGGGTCCGGGAGATGCACAAATAGCAAGTTGTTGCCTATCCTGTTGGATGGAGAATCTTCCAAAATGAGATTCAGCTAGAAAGGCACTCAACGCACAGAAAGAAAGAGTAGATCAACAATGATGTATTATAACTATATATATATAATTATAATTAATTATCTACATATATATATATACATTTATATCATTATTACTATGTTAATAGCGGGTTGGCACTCTCAACCATGCAATTATTCCACGAGGAATCCCCCTTGAGAAGTGCCTGTGGGAAGGGTAGTTTGAACACGTTCAACCACCAATCAGACAGTGATACATTTGAGGTATGGACCCAAACTCGGTACCTCCAAAAAAGATGGGTTGATACTGTAGATGATGAACTTTGTTTGAGTGTGCGACTGCGTGCCATGCGTGCCGTCGTCTCCACTCGGTTTTCATCCGGGAGCCAAGGTGCTGAACCAAACCGCACTTTTCTACGCGGCACGGAGGGGCCATGTAGAAACAATTAGATATCTGATGAGCAAAGGCCTGGACCCCAACGTTGTGGACACGAATGGGGAAACTGCGCTGCTGGGCTGCCAATAGAGTTGCGCAACTTCGTTTTCTCTCGGTGGGATGGTTTGGCCGTTCTTTGTTCAGATTTGTCCTGGGTCAAATTCCGAATCCCAAAAAAGAGGGTGTACCTGACAATTCTTACGGATGAAAAGCATTTTGTGGGTCCAAGTGTCGAAACAGTTTTGAGCCACAGCAAGATGGGTGAAGCTCATTATGACATGCCGGTAGTGCCTCTCTGAGGTTGTTCTTTGCTGTCAGGGGAAACAGGATAGCTGCGGCCCAGGCCTTGTTGGAAGGCGGGGCGAATTTGGAAGCGCCTGGGCGTTGGAATGGGAAGTGCCTGCCTCATGCAGGGAACACCAAGTCTCCAGGGAATAGAAATATGTTAGGAGTAGGACTATTATATAATATGTTAATATAATATGTTAATATTAATTCAATATAATTCAATATAATTCTTAATATATACAATATTTGGTGATTATACATATCTTTCAATATCATATAATTTCATAACGTTTTTCTTGTCAAGAATTGGCACAGTCTGTCGATATTTGTCCCGATACTGTATTGTTCAAGGGTTGCTACAAAAACAGATTAGGGAACACATCAACTCCTCAAGCAGCAGTTGGGGTGTCAAACAAAGTCTAGAGTCTAGCTTGTAGAGTGTGCAGCAAACCTCGTCTAGAATCGTCTATAATAGTCGTTGCTACGGCTTGAAGTGCTACTATTACTACCCGTTAATACCCCATCATTCCGTCCATGGAAAATTGCATGGAATTTGATTCACAGTGATGCCATCCCGTGCAGTCTTTTGGCCCTTTCACTGAGGTCGTCAACAATGAAGGCAACACGTGCTTGAGCCTGGCGCCGACTGCAGTCTTCTGTCCTTTGCAGGAGGCACGGAAGTGGGTGAACCACGGCAAAAGACAACGGGTGCATCTAATTTGATGGTTGAAATATGATGAAATCAGTTTGAGTGACTGACAATCATTGGTTTCCAAAGATGAAAGTAAACTATTTAGGTGGAGTTTGCAACACCAGTGCACCGTTGCGACAGTTGCGAGCTGGTTTGTGTCCAGTTGTGGGCTGTGGTTTGATGTTGTTTGTGTGCGTAGCCAAATCCAGCTTTCTGTTTTTGCGGCAACCTCATGACCGATCTTTCCAAGAATGCTGGTCAGTGATTGGAGCTGCACAGTAAAGCTGACAGTCAGCGAGGCGAACATTTCCTGGCTTTACAGCAGGTTTGGGATGTAGATGATGTAAACAAAATTGTCCAGACGTCCCAACATGCATGCCTCAGGAGCGCAAGAAACGGCGCCTTTATGACGACTCAGGCTTGCTAAGGGCCTGCAGTGTAACTTCCTAATTTATTCATCGTTTGGGTACATCGCTTGATCGATGCATCCCCAGAAAGGAAAAGGATTTCCCAGCCAGTCATGCCTGGTTACCCAAGGATTTAATCTCCGATTCTGCCTTGCACCATCAGGTCCCGGGGAAAAGCGCCAACGGACAGCAATGGAAGTGCTGCGTGCATGGGCCAATGAGTGGCCAGCCAGGGAGCCGATCCCCAGTACCTTGGATTTTGGTGGATGGTGATGAGGAGTCATAGCTTTCAAATCTTCTAAATTCGACAGTGTGTGCAGCCCCATTAGTCCCAAGTTGGGCCATGAGTGTTCATAACTGACCCAGACTGGAAAGTGGTTTCCTTTTTTTTTTGTGTGTGCGTGTCTCCAAGCTTGGACAGTATTGTGATCTTTGACATATGGAATATGTTACTTTTTTTGTATGGCAATGGATTGAAGATGATTGAAGCATGATTTTGTTGGTCGATGGCTCAACCAGCCAGATGGCAATTAGACCAGGCCACACTTATTGTAGCTACTCAGCTACTCGCAGCAATATCTTGCATGCTGAGGAAACGAACAGGTAAACTACAAACAGGAGGACTGATGGATATTGCCCCGAATTCAAAATGCCAACGCAGCAAAGTTGTTTTTCTCTGTGTATACATTATGCATGTGTACTCCTGTGTATATACACACACTGTATACATATCTAGTTTTGAGTAGACACAATCACATGCATAACATACTATGCACCCATAGTACGTGTAGTAAACACAGAATACAGATAATTACACTTCATGCGTCGCACAAATCCCATTAGCACTAATTACTTATTGATGTTCATACGTTGCGTGTCCCAGTCGCAGGACATCATAGACGAAGCCAATGGGTACGTTGTTCTGCACACGTGCCCGAGAGAATGCGCGGCACAGGTGCGCGTGTGTGAGAAAAATTTTGTGGCAGATCATGCCCAGTCTCTTGCACAGCAAATTGGCTAGAGGTCACGCTTGTTTGCCGGATGGTTTAGTCACCAGAAGTGTCTGACTTGTTTAATTTGAGCAGCAAATCTGTGCCCCTAGCGGCCGCAGCGGCTTTGGATGGCTTTGGCCCCATGTCTTCAGTCAGAGGATATCTAGGAGAGACACGGGGGCCACAGGTATGACTGGTTGAGAGAGGGAAATCATGTGCAAGTTCCTGGGGCCTTGGTTTCTTATTTCTTGGGGGTACTGTATTCCCATCAATCCGCAAATTGCGTAGTTGCATAAATACTGCTGTCTACAGCTTTAGGGACATGCTGCAAAATTTTGTGCAGGCCAGGATCAAACCTGGCATGGCGCTGACGGATACATCTAAGGTTCCTCGAAGAACAACCATGGTTTAAAGATCTGTCACCTCAGGACGCAAGATCGTGGGCGGATGCGGGCGTTGTTGCAAACCTGTCAGAAGTGGTCTTGAGGAAACAATGAAATGAGAGGAGACCTGTACATCAATCTAGATAGCAGCCCCCATGTTACATGCTTTCCCTTTAATTTCTTTATTCCAGGATTCAGCTACTGTACGCCTAACTCCAACAGCCGGCACAGCATTGGTCACTTTCAATCTGCCGTCTGAAATATGTGTACATATATATATATATATGTTTATATATATAATATATATATGTTTATATTTATATATTAGCATATGTAATATTATGTTTTTTTAATATATTAATATACATACATTATTATTATGATTATTATTATATATATTTTGACATTATATATATATATACACATACATCGTATATATATATATATATATATACACGTATATATATATACATTTATGTATGGATCATGTTTCAACAACAGATAGGGTGATCCAGTGCTTGGCTTCAATTGGTGTCCAGAGGGGGTGTTGTAATATAGGAAAGTGTACTCAAGCTGGGCATGTTGTTGGGGAAGGGATGATACTGGAAAAAAACATCTAAGTGTCCTGGAAAACAGATCTAGGATCCTGGAAAGATATTGCACCTTAAAGTATTTAAGGTTCCCCTGATCCTTTGGTCGCCTCTAACTAAGCCCTAGAACGGCACCTAAATCTTGACTTAAACTTAATAAACATTAAAACAAAATCAAAGAAGCACCAAACCAATAAATCGGCACTATATAACACAAACCTGAACATATAAAACACCAAAACAATGATAAAGAAACTTAAATTAAACCGTAAATAATGCAATCCAAATGAACCATCAGCAAAGCCTAAGGAAGCCATAAATTAAGCCCTAGGCCCTAAACCAGCACTAAATAAAACCATGCACTGCATAACAAAAACCGAAATTGACTTTAAAACTACCCCTGAACAAAATCTAAACCAGCATTCAAAAGGCCCTAAATCAACCCGAAAGAAGCACCAAACCAGCACTAAATTCACACTACAACAAGTTTAAATCGACACCAAACAAACACACCCCCAAATCAACACTATATAACACAAGCCGAAGTAAACCTGAAAAGGAATCCTAAAGAAAACCTAAAACAACCAAATCTAAACTGTAATACAATTGAAAAGGCGCACACCCAAAGTAACTGTACAGAAACCCCGAAAATCAACCAGAAATAATCCCCAAATACACCCTAAACCAACCTGAAATAGATCTTAAAACCAGCTCTTGACATTATGTTGCAAGTACCACGAAATACTACAGAGAATCCCCTGTGTAGCACAGATGCTGGCTCCAAGATGCTGCGAGCATGGTGCGAACAAGGGATTCAAGGCCAAAACGCTTTAAATACAATGCAGATTACATATTTAAGTTCCAAAACCCTGCAAATATTGACAAATAAGAAATTTCAGCTGCAAAAAATGCTCAAAGTACAGATTCGTAAGTTCCCCACCTGTCAGGTGAGGGTTGTTAGGTGTTTGCTGTTCTAAGGTTTTGAAAATAGTTTTCTATACGGACAGGTCATGCCAGATGGCTTTGATCTACAGATTGGCTGGCACAGTTTCAACCTGGTAAAGCACTGGGGGATTTATATGGTTATTTCAACATATTTTAACCTTTCGTTTGTGTCTGACATGGAAACCACGGGCTGGTCTCGACGAAGGCTGTGCGCTGGATAGCTGTGCCCCCTTTCTGGGCAGGTTTACATAAGGATTAATATATAGGTTTGTCTGAAAATTGGGGTACCTGAAAGTTCCATGCCTTAGCACCACTGTCACTCTTTGCCTTGGTAGTATAATACTTAGTCCTCGGATGTCCTCGGTGCCCACGTCCAAAAATGGTTTCGCCCAAGATTCACAAAGACCCATTGGGTGGATAGGATACTCGGGTTCCTGTGTGCTTTCCTGGGTTTTAACCCAGCGAAATCCAGCGAATATCAGAGAACATTGCTGGTTCAGCGACCCATTGCTGAAATTCGAAAAACATGTTTAGTGTTTTTGATTTTTTGCAATGGAAAGTGAAAAGCCCC